AATAACTCTATCATTTCGAATTGTATTTCTTCGGGTATATGATGCGCGATCACAAAATCGATAGACATATGTCATTACTCTTAGAGCTTTTGACAATTTCGAAAATCTTGATAATATATCTGGGTTTTCAGTATTCGTATTAACATTAGTTTTAGGGTTTGAACTTTCTGTTTTTTATTTATTAGTTTATTAGATTTTAAATCTAAATTTTAAATGTTTTTAGATTTAAGGATTTTATATTGAGACCGGTTTATTTGAATAAAATTCAGGGTCGGCTAAAGATATTCGACAGACCTTATTTGCAATACCCTCGTCCATGGCATTTGGGTACGGAGTATTCGGCAAATCCTTCACAACCTCCATACAGACTTCATATCTAACGTTTGATGTTAGATTTGGACCAATTAGCACCTTGACGAAAACCTCGTTGTCTATTTTGAAAGATTTTAAACTAGTGTCTCGTACTAACACAGATGCAATTCGGGACTTTGTCAGGCTGGGGTTTAATATGGCTCTTGCTATCCGGTTTCCGCTTTCCATAATCATCTGGACAACCACAGTGGGAACGAAGGTTTTCGTCATGGATGTGGTTATTGGTGTTGTTTTGGTTGTAGTTGCAAGGGAATGACGTGGAGCTGGTATGGGTTGAGTTCTTGGGGTTGGGGTTGGTGGTGGCGAACGATCTTTCGTTAGATTCAAACAATTGACGCAGTAGTGGAGGCTGACCGCAGTTTTATATTTTTGAGCCAAATTCATTTTGTCAAACTTATGGCAGTTTGTTAATCTGTGGTCAGCCTTACAAATGCCGCAACCATAATATTTAGTTGTTGGTTTGGGGTTACGATGGGAACGATTTCCATTGCGGCGAGAAACGTTTGCCTTGTGGGCGCGCTCATTGCGATGGCCAGAACGTTCGGAATTTGAACCACGCTTATTGTTGGGTGCCATCTGTGTGAAAATGAAAAATATTATGAATGAGTTAGTGTGTTAGGGTGAAGGGTTAAACGATTCTTAATAAATTTGGGTTAGTTAGGGTGGTTAGTTGAGCTAGTTAGTGATGATATTGTTATTTTTGGTTAGGGTTTGAGTAAAAGTATTAGACTAATTAGCGGGTAAAAGAACAATTTTAGTGATTGGTCTTGTTGGAGTTCCAGTTGAAGTTTGTAAATCAACTACTCTACTTCTACCATCAGAACCAGGGTATGTTTTAGTCACACGTCCAAGTAACCATTCATTAGGTGCTAAATTGTCTTGTCTAATTACTACAATATCACCTATTTCAACTTCTCGGGTATGGTTTTTCCACTTATATCTTTTATGGAGCTCTTTAAGATATTCATCTTTCCATCTTTTACAAAAGTTGTGATGTTGTATCTTTAATTTTTGCCATCTGTTAGCCAGGGTTTTATTATCACTGCTTGTGTCGGGTTCTGCAGGGTTAAGTATGGGTGAGCCAATTAAAAAGTGTCCAGGGGTTAACGGGTTAAGCATCCTTCTATTCTGGCAAGGAGTGTAGCTAGCTCTTCAAATGTATATTTTAGGGTATTTATTTTCTTCAAATGAGCTTTAAAGCTTTTTTAAAAAATCGAGCGAAGGCTTGGGTAGACAAATCAGATGTTGGCTCCAAGTGGATGGCCTTTGTTGCAAAGCAAACAAAAACACAAACCTTTCGTTATTTTACAAGTTCTGCCACTGTAAGCTTTGACGTCAAATGGTCCTGCAAAATCAACGCCAACATTTGTAAAAGCTTTATCTATTTGGGTTCTTTCTGGTGGCAACGCCGCCATAAATTGGGTTGTCTGTCTATTCCTATATCTTATGCAGGGTGAGCATTTGTTAATAACACTACTAATCAGATTCTTAAGTTTGGGAATCCAATATCCTGATCGGATTATTCTCAACATAAGTTGATTTCCACCATGCAGGGTTACCAGGTGGACGTGTTGTACTAGTTATTTAGCAAATGCACTTTTATAGGGTACTAATATAGGGTGTCTTTCGGAATAGGACAAACTGTTGGAATTTGCTAGTCTACCATTTGCACGCATTATCTTTGCAGAATCTAAAAATGGCGTTAGGGTAAGCAGGTCACTTTTGTTGGGTACAGGGTATTTTCTCTTCAAACAGTTATATTCGTTGTTGAAATATTCTGTCTGACAAAGAATAATAAGTCTATCACGGGTAGATTTGATCTCTGACGCATCAAGTTCAATACTTGGGTGGGTAGTTAATAAACGTAGTCTATCATTGACTAGTTGTGGGTTATTTCGATCAAGAATAACTCTATCATTTCGAATTGTATTTCTTCGGGTATATGATGCGCGATCACAAAATCGATAGACATATGTCATTACTCTTAGAGCTTTTGACAATTTCGAAAATCTTGATAATATATCTGGGTTTTCAGTATTCGTATCTAAGGTAGGGTGGGTATTAACTGTCGTAGTAAACGACTGACTAACTTTAGCTTCAGCTTAAGTAATAAAGTGTTTATTTTTTGTTAGCCACTTCGATGCGACTTCTTTCAACCACGATGGTCCATTCCACCATAAAGTGTCATCTTTCAACTCATCAGCATTACATCCTCGGCTAGCAACATCGGCAGGATTATCGTGTGAAGCAACATGATTCCAGTTATCTGCTCCTACTGTTTGTAGAATTGTTGAAACTCTGTTTGCCACAAATGTATTCCACGAGTTAGGGTGTTTACTAAGCCAGGCCAAAACTATAGATGAGTCGGTCCAGAAATACGTCTGATGTAAGGGTAGGTTGAGTTGGGTGAGTACATTGTGTGCAGCGTTGCCACTTTGGTCCAATTGGACCAAAATTGGTAGTTTCAAATCTCTGAAATGACTTTTGGTAGTTTGGTTGGTAGGTATAAATTTTGGTCCAAATTTGGTAGGATGAGATAATTTTGATCTCATGCATATGAATTTATAAACATTTCTGATCTTGTTATGGCAAAGTAGTTTTAATAAATACGTCAATCTTAAGTTTATCCTTGTTAAGTTTATATTGTTTGTTCTAAGAAAATATTAAGTTTCTATGTATTTCAACATTTCTGATTCATGAATGTTAGTTATTTAGTTAGTTTGAAATGAGGATGTTACATAAAATCCGAAGGAATATTTCTAGGCCTGCATCGGTCCCGTTGTGAACTTCCTAACCAACTCCTCAGGTGGGATTCGAACGCACGACGTCAGGTCTGACTATAACATAAACCACTAACCTACTGGAGGCCACACTAATTCTTTTTTTCTAAGAAACCAGATACATGAATGAATATATAATTTGATGGGTCTACTACCTTACAAACGGAATCACAAAATTAATATACCCCAATCTTTTTTGATGGGTATAAAAATATTATATATTTTTTCTAGGTTCTTATTAGATTCTAAGACGATATAGCCATGTCCACCCGTCTGTCTGTTGAAACAGTTTTTTAAGACCCGAAATCTATGTCGATTGGTCCACAATTGATCCTATTTCAGCCATATAGCCCCTTTTCAGGAAAATAATGTTATTATCAATAAATAGCAAATTAGTTAACCGTAGTATAATAAAAGGATTTATCCATAAAGTCCTCAATTTATACGATAGATGCTGATTGTGGATATACATATATGATTCGTCATAACCGAATATAATACTATTACTATTTTCTCGGGAATGATTTTGGTACAAATTTTGTCGAAAACAGCAATTATGTATTTCATAACTATATAGTACGAAAGTATTTGGAAATTTTGTCTAATTACGTAAAAGTAAACCATTGACTCTTTGGAACAAATCATTGTTTGATATTACATATTAGTTTTAAAAATAATGAAACTCTAAACAGAAGCAATTGTCCCTAAGGAAAAATTGGTAGTTTTTGGAACGTTTTGGTAGTTTTTTGACGGAACTTTGGTAAGACAAATAAATGGTGAGTGGCAACGCTGATTGTGTGTCATATTTGCCAACAACACTGCACCACAAAGTTAAAGTTTTGGTAACGAGATTACTTTGATTGGCGCAACTCTCGTCTTAGCGAAGAGTAGGGTTACAGAATTAGGTCCGTCTATGGGTGTTACTCGTGCATATAGACATGCAGAGTATGCCTTTTCAGAAGCATCTGAAAAACCATGAAACTCAATTTTTGCTGAAGGTGAAAAGTTAATCCATCTTGGAATATGAATTCTATTAATATTATCGTAGAACTGCAAAAACTTTTGCCATTTTATAAGGGTGAGTGGGTTAAGACATTCATCCCAAGCTGTATTAATAATCTTGGCTGCATAATAATCTTGGCAGATATAACAATTGGCGCTAACCAACCAACTGGGTCAAAAAGACGAGCAATGTCTGATAACACAGTTCGCTTTGTGTATGCTGATTTTCTTTCAATTAAGGGTACATTAAAGAAAAACGTATCTTCTTTAGCATTCCAACGAATGCCTAACGTTTTAGCATTATTTGATTCGGGTAGGGTAAGTAAATCAACATCGAGTAGATGTTCTTCGGGTAATTTGTGTAATAATTCCTTTGTATTGGAAATCCACTTTCTTAAAGGAAAATCAGCAGAGTCTAGAGTCGAGATAAATTGGGTTTGAGCTTTTTGAGCTTCTTCAATTGTGTGACCTCCGGCTAAGACATCATCAACATACATGTTGTTTCGCAATATTGGCGTAGCTATAGGGTGGGTATTTTGAATGTCATCGGCTAATTTGTGCAGGGTTCTAATAGCCAAATATGGCGCACAGTTAACACCAAATGTAACTGTTTGCAGTTCATAATCTTGATTGGGTTCGTTGACGCTTTTACGGAATAATATTCGTTGGAAGGGTGTGTGGGTAGGGTTTAGCATAATTTGCCGGTACATTTTTGTAATGTTGGCATTATAAACTATCTTGTAAAAGCGCCATTTCAAGATAAGTACAACTAAATCTTGTTGTAGGGTAGGACCAGTGTGTAGGGTATCATTAAGACTGTTGCTGTTCGAAGTTTTGCTAGATGCATTAAATACAACTAATTTTTGTCGTAACACGATCAAGTTTAACAACAGCGTGATGGGGTAAATAATAATGGGTGTTTGAAGGAGTGTTTGGGTTATATTTAATTGGTTTCATATGACCTAAATCGATATACTCTTGTAGCACGTTATCATATTCCATTTTAAGCTCTGGCTTTTTCATTAAACTTTTCTCGTTACGTAGAAATTGAGCCATAGCAACGTGTCTAGAGTTTCCTAACTCGACAGGAGGGTATATAAATGGTAAATTTACCTGATAACGGCCATTTGGTAATCGAAGGGTAGTGGTCATAAAAGTTTCTTCACATAAAGAACTTTCTTCTGAAACTTTGGGTTGGGTGGGTACATCTTCAATTTCCCAGAACTTGGTCAAAACTTTATCAAGCGTGACTGAACTGAAGTAAGAAACTAAGGGTTGGGTATTTTGCGAATTCTGAACGGGTCCTGTTAAAATCCAGCCAAACTCAGTTTCCTGAGCTATAAGGGTATCAAGTAAGTCTTTTCTGACTCCAGATTTTAGAATCTGTGGGTAAAAATCGCTGCCAATAATAAAGTCGATAGGTCGGCTAGAGAACCTTTGGTCAGCTAATTGAATATTTTCCAAGTCTTGTATTAGGGTGGGGTTTAAGTTTTGGGTAGGTAAGTTTTTGGTTAATGTTTTTACAACAATAGCTTGGATATTCAATTTTAAATCGTTTTGGGTGTTTGAGCGCAATAAAACTTGACACAGTTTATTTGAACGAGCTGAAACTATTTCGTTTAATCCTGAAATTTCAGCAACTATGGGTGTAGTGGGTAATTTTAGCTTCCTTCTCAGTTTATCTGTGATAAACGAGAAGTCTGAAGCTGGGTCAATAAGCGCTCTAGCTGGAAATAATTCACCTTGAACTTCAACATTCAGAACTGCCGTTCCTAATAACTTTGTTCTGTCATCTATGGGTATGGGTTTGCTTGATTGGGTGTGGGTTGAGAAAGACTGTACTGCGTTTTGTGATGTTGACGCCTGAGTATTTTCAACATGTGGGTTAGGGTTAGAGTTCGGCTTGTGTAAAAGCGAATTATGTTTACCGCCGCAATATCTACACTTAAATGCGCTATAACAATCTTTTATGACATGTCCAGTAGCTAAACAATTGTAACAAATTCCATTCTCATTTACAAATTCAATTCTTTGGTTTAATCCTAAAGAATTAAATGAAGGGTGTGATTCTTTTCACAAAGTTTGCAAATGGACCCATAGAGTTTAGTTTGGGTGTTTTGGGTATTTGATTTCTTTTGGGTATTTTGGGCACTTGCATTCTTTTGGGTATTTGAATTGGGTATGGTTTGGGTTAGAGAATTTTTGTTCATTTTGAGGTTTGGGGTTTGGGTGGGGTTTCTTTGAAGAATGGGTTACATTGTGAAACGCTTTGGCTCTCCTGTCAGGGTTATATTTTGTTTCAGTAAATTGTTTGGGTTTAGGGTGGGTGTTAGGGTGGGTATTAGGATTCGAATCTGGAACATCGTTTACTGATGTAAGTTCCTTAAAAGTGTTTGTTAAGAACACATCAAGATTCGTCCATGGCGGCATTTCAGCGCTATCATTGAGAGTTTTTTCAAACTCTCTTCGGGTTTCTTTGGGTAATTTTGATAAGCAAAGATATACAAAGATAGGATTCCAATTATCCGTATCAATTTCTAATGAATTTAAATTAGCAATACAACAATTAATCTTTCTCTGAAGCTTTCTTATAGAAGCACTGCACATGGTGCTTACTGTGGGTAAATTAAAAAGTGTTTTTAATTGCGCATTGATTTGCATTCGTCTATTTTCAAATTGAGAGACGAGTTGGGTCCACGCAATGACAAAGCCATCATTAGTTAGGGCGCGTTGTCAACGATTTATTTGGCTTCGCCGCTTGTTTTTTGCTTAAGATAGAAGAGTTTTTCAACTCCACTTAAGCGTGTGTTGTTACCATAAATGGCTTTAAAAAGATCCCGGAAAGAAGCCCAAGATTTAAAATCTCCATTAAATGTAGGCATATCGCATGGAGGTAAATTGAAGGCTACGGAATTGTTGGGTTGTGGGGGTTCGGGTAATGAGGGTCGGGTATCATTGGCCTTAGTAATCTCTTCAATAGATTCATCTATTGAGATCATACTAGTTCTATAAAAATTTCTGGCAGATCTAAAATGATGTACAACTTCCGTTAAATTGATTGTTTCAGTCTTCTTTGGGTCGAGTAAATCAGCGGATTCCCTAATTTGAGTCAATTTATGGTCAATTTTAGACCATAAATCACTTAATTCACGTTTTTTGAATTTGAGTGCGGGTAGCGATTGAAAACTTTCCGGAGAGGAGCGATAATCTTCCTCAAAAGACTCCAAATCCATTTGGATATATCGCATTAAAGTGGCGGCCAAAGATTTTAAATCGGACATATTGGGTTAATTTAATTTAAAAATCTACAAAAAATTTGTAACAGCAAACTTAAATTTCCGACAGGGTATTTTATGTGTGTATGGGTACGCTACACAATTCGGGTGGTAATATTAGCTTAATCAAGCAATATATAAAAATACTTCCAAAAAAGTTTTTAATAGGGTGGGTGGGTGAGTGGGTTTTGAATAGAAAATATTTTATATATTTAATATTGCTTGGTGGCCTCCGGTAGGTTAGTGGTTAGTGTTCTAGTCTGGTAGACCGGAGGTGGTGGGTTCGATTCCCACCTGAGGCACTGGTTAAGGAGCGCACAACAGGCCCGATAGAGGCCTAGGTGTATTTCTTCGGATTTGATGTATATACATCCTCCTTTCAAACTAACTAACTAACTAACTAACTAATATTGCTTGACTAATAAAACTAATATAATACAAAAAAAAATGGAAATTTAAATTTTATTAGTTAGGGTCTGGTATGTATGTTAGGGTCTGGTATGTATGTTTAAGCGTGTGTATATGTTTTGTGTGTTTTTTATTTCTTGTTTATTTTGGGTATTGATGTTTTTAATATTTTTAAAAATATGTACAGTGTGTGTTATATTTGTAATTTTATGATATTTTAATTGTTATTTATTTTTGTTTTAATAAATTTTGCGTATATATATTTATAAATAATTATTTGTTAATTTAAATGTAATTTGTGTATGTTTTTTGTGTAGTTTTTTATTTTATTAACAATTTTTAATATATATATATAATTTTTAACAAAGGGTAGGGTATAAGAGTATTTATAAATTAAAAAACACTATTTTGGGTTTCACTGTATTTTGTTTTGATGTATGGTTTTTGTTAAATATATTTGTTTTTATTTGTAATGTATTTTTTTTTTTGTTTTCACTGTTTTTATGTTGTGTAAATGTTTTTTGTTTATTTTAAATTTCTTTAAATTTTTAGTGTATCTTGTTATTTCTTTATGTTTAATATTTTTGCACAATTTTATTTATGTTTTAGTTTGTAGTGTATTTTTAATTGTTTATTATGATTTTGTTTTTTAATTTTTAGTTTTATTTAAGGGTGGGTTTTTTTTACATACACTTGCTTTTTGCTTACTTTTTCCTTCAACACTTTTTCACTTCACACACTTTTTATTTTTTTAAGCTTACTTTCTTTTCAGCTTTATTTTTTGTGGACTGTATTTTCTATGTTGCCGTTTCTTTTTCAACGGTTCGATTGGACCAATGTTTATTTAGGGGTTAGAGGGAGATGGGTAGATGGGTACTTACGAGGGAATTAGAGGAAGGGTAAATAAGCAAGGCTTGGGAATTTTTTTAGAAAACGTTATAAACTTATGTGTTTATTAAACTTCAATATATGTATATAACGTAAGTATATAGGGTAAGTATATAATACACTTTTTAGGTTATAAATTCTGTTCGATATTTATTCTTAGGGTAAGTTAGATTTACGTATTTATCGATTTATTTTAGGGTAAGTATTTTATATTAGTTTTAGGTTTTAAGATAAAGTATTTATTTATTTATTTATTTTAGAATAAATTTTCTTAATATTTAATTATTTTAACTATTTTAACATTAGTTTTAGTGTTTGAACTTTCTGTTTTTTATTTATTAGTTTATTAGATTTTAAATCTAAGTTTTAAATGTTTTAGATTTAAGGATTTTATAGATTTTAATTAGCTTTAAGGTTTTAACACTAATTTTAAATAAATCACTTATTTATTAACCTTCAGTTACAAGTTTAGATTTTTAAGGATAGAAAGAAAACTTGTTTTGTAAAGCGCACACACTTGTTGGTAGTAAGCCAGGTTGATTAGAAGTAAAAGTAAGAGAAAAAGGGTAAGAGCTGCAGTTGACATTTATGCAGCAATGAAGTTGGCTGCAGTTAGATGTGGGTATTAAATGGCAGCAGGGATGGGAATACTCCATTGTTCACTAGTGTGAACAGGTTTCAACTTAAGAAAAGCCATTGTTTTATAGTAATATTGATATTTGATGACTAGCAATATATTTTTAATGTATAGGTGGACTCTTTAAATAAATATTTTGGTTTGTTTTTACTAAATTCAAAAAGTTAAACGAATTACTAACAATAATTTAACATTAAAATATATTTTTGAATTAAAATCCAAAACTTTCATTCAATCTATTACAAATTGAATGGTTAAAAAATTGTTTAATTCAATTTGTAATAGATTGAATTAAAACAAAATTGTATCATTCATATTCAATTTAATATTCATAAGAATTAATTCAGAATGAATTTAACATTCCCTAGGAATTAATTCTTTAGGAAATTAATTCCACTATATCGAAAACTCTAAGAATTAAGTCACGGAATTAAATCTCAGGGAATGTATTTAAAGAATTAACCATTCTTTAAAATATATTTCTATTTAAAAAAAAGAATTAGGGAATTAATTCTTTCGAAGCTTTGCTTCTGGCTCAAATGATGACTTTTATACAAATCTAAATAATCTGGACGAAAATGTGCACAATTGGGCACATAGTAGAGGTGCTGTTATACCTGCGGAGAAAACTGAAGTGCTCCATGTCTGCAGAAGGAGAGGATGCTCTGTAAACACTATTAATATTAGAAGAACCGAAATTGCTATTACTGACCAGATGAGAATATTAGGCTCACGTAGGTTCACGTAAAACACCTATCTTCCAAGTTGAGCAAAATAAATAACCTGCTAAAATTGATTTGTTCTCGTTCGAAAGGTCCTGAATACTGCCCTGGACGTCTGTGGTCATTGGTCACCGGAGTTTTATTACACGGTATTACAATTTACGGATGTACATCTAGGAAAAACGTGAAAAAACTGAATACTTCTATTAATAACTGTTACAGAACGGCATCTGGTTTATTAAGAGCAATTCCTTTGGAGTTACAAACATTTGAGGCAAGATTCCAGGACTTCCAATCTCTCTTGGAGAAAAGTGCTATTAGTATGGCATCTAGATCAATCACCATTCCAGCCGATGGCCTCCAAAAAAGAACAAAAAAGGTTTATATAATCATATTATTACACTGCCCGATCGAAATGCTCAGATATTGATAGTATGGGTGCCCTCCCATATTGGGATATGTGGAAACTAATGTGCAGACGCTGCTGCTAAAAATGCAAAAAATTTGCAACATGTAATGGAAACTCCATGTTTACCAAAATACAATATTGAAATGACAAGGAGCGAATGCGTTATGCTGGGTCGTCTGCGAGTTGGCAAAACTAAATTCAATACACAACACTATAATGATGTCACCTCCCCGACGAAATGTACCAACTGTGAGGTTATTCTTTCAGTCTCACAGCCCTTGGATAAGGTCATTGACTGTACTACAAACACGAACCTGTCGGCTATAAGAAAAAGTCTTCAAAAACAAAAAAATCAGGATGTAAAACGGGTCCATTATCCGAAAATCTCGGATTCTACTATTTATTTAATTCCAATTTGACTTTGTAACTTTGACTTTTCTTTCTAGTTGTTATTATTTCCTTTGTTTTTTGAATATAGTGGTATACCAGCTCCTCCTTAAAATTCCATAATGACCACAAATCCTCTCTAGAACTTTCTGGTCACAAACAATTTTTAATGCCAATATAGTAAATTTTTCTTTTTTCTTTATATTTTTTTATTCTGAAAATATTTCAGAAATACTGGATATATGATTTTGACTGTTAATTGGTTAACAGTGCACTGTTAACTGTAAAAATAGCTATGTTAAAGAATTTGGTTTGCGTCTTTACTAGTTAAATTCGAATTTATCTTCACACTCTCCATTTAACATCCCAGCGGTAAATGAAACAAAGTACTTAGATAATATTCGATGACATCAGTATGACGTTCTAAGCGAGCAATCTAAGTACTTAGAGTGCAATATATGCGTAATCCAACATGCACTTTAAT